CCACCTTGGTGTATTTCCGCCCGTCCCTAACGCGCTACAAAACGGCCCACGCCTGAAAAGGTACATGTACTACTTTGGGCCGTTTTGTTGCGCGTTTCCATTGGGATACAGCCAAGTAGCCTTCGGAAACGCGCAACTTTTTTACCGCAAATCACGGTAAAAAAAAAACGCGCGACAGACGCGCATATGCAATACGCCTAGGTGTGAACGAGACCTTAGAGTCTATTAACTTTTATTACCACTGCAACACATGCAATGTGTATGGTCACATTCCAAAGCTGTAAATGGATCCTTAAAAGAAACCATTTATGAAATATGTAATGTGCCATTGCTGGTCTCCTCATGAAAGTGCTAGCTGCCTTGCTGTTATGCTACATTATATATATATATATTCCAAAGCTGTAAATGGAGATATATATATATACACACACTATACACAATTTTGGGGGTCAGCAATGACAGCCTTCATTGAGTACTCTTCCTGATCTCTACAATAGATTCTTCCACACTGTGCAGAATGAAGTGGGAGTTGGTGGAAGAGATGACGAGTGTAAATGACAATCCCATACATTCCAATCTCTCGTCTTAGAGCAGGAAATGGAAGGCACCTGCTGAGTAACAGAGGGTGTGACCAAAACTTCTACCATCATAGAGACACCATTCCAGACAGAAGAATAATATGATACAAACAAATACAGAGAAAGGATCTTCCAAAAATGATATGCAATAAATAAAAGACAATAAATAAATATAGAACCCCAATGAACAGGGACATTGTGCAGACTGTGCCAAGTCATGGCCAGGAGGATTTTTACCAATAAAGAAGATTTCTAACTGGTAGCTGTGACAGTACTCTGATTGTATGGAAATAAACACCGATTCTGGAAATATATCTCAGCTTTTTGGTCATGAAGCATTTTCTGTTAGGGGAACTGCGTGGTATTCTGATGAACAGTTTCATGCCACCAGAAAGCTGACAACATCTTACAATCTGATCATCAATCTGTCAACGACATCCTTTAAGGCTGGCCATACACTATAACATCTGATTGTACAATCTCCTTTAGATCTACTGTCAGCTATGTAATACTAGGGCCTGGCTTAAGGTCCCCACACACCTTGCGATAATCGTACGATAATCGCGGGAAATCCCACGATCGTACGATTATCGTAAAGGTGTGTGGGAGCCGTGCGACCTCTACTACTGTAAGGTCGCACGACTTTAAACTTACGGACATGTTTCAAAACCCGCCGAGCATCGTACGATGTTTGGCGGGTGTGTAGCATGTTCGTGAGATAAAAGCCGGAGGGGCCGGCGTGCGCAAACGCACACTGCCCGTTCGGCATTGCGGTCATCGGAAGCCCGCCCCTCAGGGGGCGTGGCTTGCGATCATCGCAAGTATGATCTGCCTATGCAAGATAGGCAGATCGTACGTTTTTTTAAGTACCTTACAACCATCGCAAGACAAAAGTCTTGCGATGGTTGTAAGGTGTGTGCCCAGCCTTACAAATAGAATAGGAATCTCCCGCAATTTGCTTTGTATTGTGACGGCAGCTGCTGTCAAAATATCCAAACCGAACTGGCAGCTCTGTTTGTTAGAACAGCTCCTTCGATCAGCTGATTGAGGGATGCGGGCTGAAAGGGTGCCATCAAGAACCAGATGAAATTTGTATAGTGTATGGTCAGCTTACAATGGCCAGAGACCTTGCAATCTGCTGGTACAATTTCCTTTAGCTCTACCAGCAACTATGTAGTATAAGTGCGTACCTGGGATTGTTTAGTTAGAGCTTCCATTACAATTTTAGTGCATATAAAGCTGCCTATTCACATTGCGATTATCGTTCGATTTCATTCGTGCCCTCATTGAATCGTCGTTTGATTTCCGCTCGAATACCCCATCATGCACAGACCAATGTCGATTTCGATGATCGTTCCATTAGCAATAATAATTGACTGAATTTCGTCGATCGACAGAACGGATTTTCGTTTGCGTATATGCAGTGTTCTTGTTGCGAATTCTTTTTTCGTACGAAAATGCCACTAATCCATCGATTTTCATGCAATTTGAGAAAAAAAAAATCCAGCTTGACCGATAGAGGAAATTCAGCTAGTTGTACAGTAATTGTGATCGCTCACTTCCCATCAAATGCCCGATTATCGTCCGAAAACCAGATCTTGTTTGATTTCCAAACGATAATCGCAAGGTGTATGGGCACCTCAAGGGTTCGTTCACACCAGCCGCACGCACTACCACGGGGCCACTGCTGTATGCGGTTAGGAAGCAGTGCAATGCATCGATTTTTACTTTGCTTTTTTGAAAAGCCCCAAAGTGTCATATCATTCACTTGTATTCTCCCCAGAGCTATGCGATGCAGTGTAGTGCGTTGCAACACGCCACAGTAAAGAAACGACTGTATGTAATACTTTGTTTCAGCATTGACTTGATAGGAAATAAGGTGAATGGCCTTGATGCCTATGCCTTGGGATTGGCAGTCCCAACACATCTGGGGTGAACGGGTCCTAAAGAAGATTGTATTGATCAACATTTATCAAGATTTATCAACAACTAGGACGAGTATCTGCTAAAGCAGTGGTTCTCAACCTGTATAACCTCGGGACCCACATTTGTCCTTGGTCATGACCCAAGCTACACCACACTGGAACGCACAGCATTTCAGTACTGCATGTACCAGTGCAAGCAATCAAACTGTGGACGGGAGGTGTGTTTGGGATGCCATTCAAATGAATTGCAACTCATTGCACCTCCCGCACCAAAACGAACAGTAGGTGCGATTGCATGGTAGTTTGTGATTAAAACACTGACAGACACAATCTCACACACTCACTCCCCAAAAAATGTTAGGGGTTCAGTGTGGAGCTGTATGCAATGCACTTATGGATGGAGCTCCCTCGTGGCCATACCCCCAGCCCACCCCACCTCACGCTGACACTTGGCACCAGGTAGCATATTTTGAACTGACAGTGCTGCGCTATGGGAGAGGCTGAGGAGCCTTTCACCTACTGCACTGGAAGGCATGCAGCAACGCACTGAACATGGGGTCGCGACCCACCAGTTGAGAACCACAGTGCTAAACAATCCAAAACATAGTCGGGGGAGCAGGGGCGGAGGGGGTTCCTGCAGTAAAGAGATGTTGGCAATTCTATTGTTGATCTGATAGATACAAAGCAAGCTGTATGATCCACAAAACAATCACTTTGATAAAGGAGGAATTGATTAAAACTATCAATCATTTATGAAGCAAATGATGATGCAGCTAAAATAGGGCAAGTAGTATTTTTTCTGACTGCATCAGAACAGATTCCACTGGTGTGAATAGAGCACCAGAAATCTCATAGGAAAGCATTGTGATGTATTTTGGCTGCAGCAGCCAAACTGAACGGACTGCATTACAACTGCATCTGGTGTGAACTAGCCCTTTGGGCCGGTTCAGACCACAAAGAATGCACACCAGAGTGTTCAGCCTCTGGAATGCAAACTGGCTGGCTCCCTGCGTTCAGTGGCGTTGCGGTGCACTGAAGTCAATGGCACCACAGCACCGCCCCCTGCTGTGCGATGGCCGGCACCCGAACGTGTGGCACATTAGTGTCTGCATTCCGGTGTGTGCGATCTGCAAAAATGCTGCATGCACTATTTTTGTAGATTGCACTGGACTGGAACGCAGACACTAATGTGCCACGCGTTTGGGCGATCGCACTGTGGGCATGGCTGCAGTGCCATTGACTTCAGGGACCTGGCCGGTTTGCGTTGCAGAGGCCGAACGCTCTGGAACGCATTCTTTCTGGTGTGAACCGGCCTTTTAAGTGATTGCTGCAGACAAGTTAGCTGTGTGTGTGCATGGCCACCTGTAGACACAGTGGGGGGAATTTATCAAAAGTGGAGCAGACAAAATCTGGAGCAGTTGCCCATAGTAACCAATCAGCTTCTCTCTTCAGGTTTGTTTGGTTAAGATTTTAAAATATAAGGGAAGCTGACTGTTTGCCATATCCCTTCAGTGTATATGAATTAATGGAATATTCTCAGCGCAGTGCTTGCTCCACAATACAGGGACACCACTTCTCTCTCTCTCTCTCATTACTTCAATCCAAGCAAAAATCGATTCAACAGAAGAATACAAGATCTGTACACATACTAGTCACGCATAGGGGACCCTGAACTACAGCCACATGTATTCCAAGACCAGCTTTACCCAAACCCAGGAGCCCATTCACACAACCTGAAGAGATCTATATATATATCTATATAGATATATATATATATATGGACATCCTATGGCACCTGCTACATCTACAAAGGACAGGTTCACTTTAATCGAGTGCACAAGTTCTAGACATCATTCCAGATCCCAGGGGTAGATCGGGAAGTTTAGAGATCACCTCCATACAAAACATACAAGGTAGAAATAATGGGATCTCCTCCAAGTGGATCCCTAACTATAAATATATAGGATCCCTTTATACTAGGTAGAAATAGTATCCTGCAAGTGTTTTTCAGAAACATACAGGATCCCTAAATACTAGGTAGAAATAATGAAATCTCCAACTGCATCTGTATATACAATGTATATAAGGATAGGTTCCCTACATGCAATGATCCCTACATACAGGTTCCCTACATACAGGTTCCCTACATACAAGGATCCCTATATGCTAGGAAGAAATAATAAGATCTCCAAGTGGATCCCTATATACAAGGTATGTAGGGATAGGTTCCCTACAAATAATGATCCCTATATACTAGGTAGAAGTAATCAGATCTCCTCCAAGTGGATCCCTATATACTAGGTAGAAATAATGAGATCTCCAAGTGGATCCCTATAGACACATACTGGATCCCTACATACTAGGTAGGAATAGTTTCCTGCAAGTGTGTATAAGACATACAAGACACAAATGAACAGATGACCTGCACTGTGCAGTCACATGATCCCTGCCATGGCCATGGTCTTCTGAGCCTATGAATGAAATAAGAAGTGCTCACCTGGCAGGACTCTCAGTAGCAGCAGCAGCAGCTGTCCCCAGCAAGTCCACACAGCACAAGAGAGGAGAGCAGCCAGGGATGGAGGGGCGAGTCACTGTGCACCTCCCTCCTCACATTACACCCAGTGCTGGGAGTGGCTGGGACATCAATAGGAAGGGCGATGTGAGTGAGCCCAGAGAACTGTCTACTTAATGGGCCACTTTATGACTGTAAAGTAAAGATCTACTATTCATTCTCAGCACACAGGATCAGGCGGCAGGTAATACTGAGAACAGGGAAGTAGCCTGACTTCTTTCTAAATTAGTGTTTTCATGGCTCGAATAAAATATAGAAGGGAAGTGAGTAAAAAGAAATTCAAGATAAGTGAAAACCTAACAAAAGTTTTTTTTTTATCACACACCAAAGGCAGTTTAGTTCTGCAGCTCACACCAGAGACAACTTGCACCTGTTACATGACTGCAACTGTTTCCAAACCTGAGGCTAATAAAACTTGTGTTCCTGGAGCTGTGCAGCTTACGTGGATTACCATCTATGTACAAAGTCAGCCATACACGTAGAGATTTTTTCTTGTCAGCCATTGTTTTATGTAAAGTGCATTTTATGGAGAAAGAGGGACAAGTGGAAATTTTCTTTTATGGGATTACTGGACAGGTAATCAGCTGTGTGCTTGGAAATACAGCTCCCTACTAGTGATGTGCGGGGGCATGGTGTGTTCTAGGTTCCAAACCCTTGCCAAACCGTCGCTGACACACTCCCTTCCTAGCCCAATCAGCTGCGGCCAGGGCATTCCCCACTGCTTTGTGATATGCAGCTGCAGGGAATTCCGCGGCCGCAACTTACTGGGCTCAGAGGAGGGTGTCAGCGACAGTTTTGCATGGGCTCAGGCAAACTCGATGAAACATTGTCACATTCCCCACCCTCAAACTGCTCCCCCACTTCCCTGAATTGCTGGGTTCCTCTCCCTGCAGCATTTTGTAGACTTTTGATTTAGGCGTGGCTGTGTGTGGCTCTGTTAGAGCTGTGTCAAGCATTCGCAGATCCATTCACAGCATCTATTAATGCATAGGGATTCATAAATCTCAATGGAGCACAAGTGCAGCGACACCACCACATTGGTAGTCCATTGATTACTTCCTCCAGCTGCATACCTGAAGGAGCTGTACTTTGGTGCAGATCTGGGGCTGGAGGAATAGTCTGCAGGAACCCGTGCATTGCACCCACGATCCACTGATCACAGTCGCAATGCTTTGCAGGCTCCAATGCAAACAAATAAAAAATGCAACCATGTTTTCTTTCATCAACGTTTGTGTATTTATTACATTTTTCGGAAAGGGGCACTATGCCTTTAAATGCACGTATTGTTGTCTTTGAGAAAGATGTGTTTTATGCATTTTGAGGTTTCCTAGAAACGTCGCATTTGCATATTCGAGTGTTTTGGGAATCAGGGCTCTCAGTACAGTCAAAAGACTTTCAGATATATTTTCCTGGATTTTGGTCATAAGGTTGGCTTAGTAACTATATGGCACACACTGACAGTTGTATTCACCTTTATATTCATATCATGGAGGATTTCAATGATTATCCTTACCACAATCACACACCCACCACGTTCATGTTTGCAGATTCAAGCACAAAGAACATACAAACTTCTTCTACATACCGTGTTTCCCCGAAAGTAAGACCTACCCCGAAAATAAGACCTAGCACTATCTTCGGGGATTTCTGTAATATAAGACCTACCCCGAAAATAAGACCTAGTTCGGTGGTAGGTCTTATATTACAGACATCCCTGAAGATAGCGCTAGGTCTTACTTTCGGGGTAGCTGCACATGTAATTCAATTTTACATGTAAAGACCGGCCGCAGCTCCCTCCCGCCCCCTCGTCCGCCCACCTGTCTGTTTCTCCATGTATTGCATCAGAGCGGAGAGGCAGCTCCCTCCCGCCCCCCTGCCAGACACGCCCGCACGCCCGCCCACCTGTTTGTGGCTCCCTGGACGGCAGAGCGGACAGCTGCAGCCAGGTAAGACATCCCCCGAAAATAAGACCTAGTGTCTTTTTTCGTGAAAAAAATAAAATAAGACACTGTCTTATTTTCGGGGAAACACGGTAGTACACCAAGTGGGCACTGAAGCCTGAACTCCAGTACTATAAGACAAGTTGGTAAACCTATAAGTCACTACATCATCCTCATATGTTAATGCATCATCTCTATGTGTATAATTCTAAGGCTACATTCAAACCTCAATCATTAGAATTTATAAAGAGAGTCACAGACACACTTTTGAATTGTGTCACACTTCTACACGACAAATGCCAGTGTCTGCTACAATTTTGCTGATATCGGAAACAGGTACATGAATATGTAGGCATGGTGGGGGGCGGCACTGAGGCCCCATTCACACCTAGGCGTATTGTAATATGCGCGTCTGTCGCGCGACCGTCACGCGTTTTTTTTTACCGCGATTCCAAAGGCTACTTGGCTGTATCCCAATGGGAAACGCCCGACAAAACGGCCCAAAGTAGTCCCGGGACCTTTTCAGGCGTGGGCCGTTTTGTAGGGCGTTAGGGACGGGCGGAAATACGCCAAGGTGGGAACGAGGGCATTGACTACAATGCAATTTATATTTTTGACCGTTTTGAAGAGCGTTCGTCGAGCGTAGAACGCCCTACAAAACGGTCAGGTGTGAACGAGGCCTGAGGCCAGAGTGTCTATACCGCGGTCCTCAGTGCATGTTTGGCCCCCGTGCCACACAGTGTCATTGGTTGCTGTGACACTGTCTGCAACACAGCTTCCTTGTTGCTATGATGATGTCAGTTGCACAGCATCATTGGTTCTTTTGGTGCGGTGTGTCCGACACCGCCATAGCAACCAGAGACACTGTGCAGCTGACAGCCTCATAGCAAACAAGGAAGCTGTGCAGCTGACAGCGTCATAGCAACAAAGGACACTGTGCATCTGACAGCAGCATATCAACCAAGAAAACTGTGCATCTGACAGCAACATAGCAACCAAGGAAACTGTGCATCTGACAGTAACATAGCAACCAAGGAAACTGTGCATCTGACAGCAACATAGCAACCAAGGAAACTGTGCATCTGACAGCAGCAAAGCAACCAAGGAAACTGTGCATCTGACAGCAACATAGCAACCAAGGAAACTGTGCATCTGACAGCAGCAAAGCAACCAAGGAAACTGTGCATCTGACAGCAGCATAGCACCCAAGAAAATTGTGCAATCGACAGCAAACTAGCATCCAAGGATGCTGTGCAACATCATAATACCAGTCCTGGAGGAGAGGGGAGGGGTGAACCCTGTTACTCCAGAAAGACATTCGGTCTTATTTCTCTTCATTTTTCCTATCTATGATCTGGCAGTATTTGTTATTGAAAGTGTCACAGCCATAGCGACATATTAGTAGAGTGGCGCAAACAACAACCGCTTGAATTTGGTGCTACACTTCCTATAACAATAACGCCATAAATCTGTCACAGAGGCCATACTGAACTGCTCTCAATGTTTCATACACCATCTACATGCATTCATCCTGCCGGGCAGTGCGTTTTGCTTGAAGCAGCCCTGATAAAAGTGCAGACTAAGTAAAGTTGTGAATGCAGCGGAATGTAATACAATAAAAGTAACAATGCTTAGAAAAAAGTGAAACATTGTATACTAGGTGAAGTAGGGGTATCCTTGGTGAGTCAGTGAAACGTAAACCACATTGTGATGCTGTGAGCTATCAGTTCTATTCACTGAGAATGTTATACTGTAGTTTTGTTTGCGGAGGTGGGGCGTAGTGACTAAGTGGCTGTCATCAGAGGTGAGCAGGTATTTGCATTTGGAAATGTTCTCATGATGATGTTGTAAAAAACTGCCTGGAGCACTGTGCTACGAGACAAGATCCAGATTAACTATGACATCAGACATCATCAAAATTGATTAGAATTCTATCATGTATTTCAGCTGTAAAATTGATTACATTGAGTTTGCTGTGATAAGTGTAGATAAATTGACAACCTCCATAGTTTTGGACAGTGTGTGGATGGGTTATAACTAGGGATGCACCGATACCGATACTAGTATCGGTATCGGCGGCGCTGCCGAGTATTTGGGTCTAGTACGAGTACTCGCCTAAATGCTCTGATACCAAGCCCGTCACTTGAGACGAGAGAGCATGGAGCCGACTTCCCGACCAATCAGGAAGCCGGGCAGCATGTAATGACGCGCTGTCCGGCTTCCTGATTGGTCATGAGCTGGCCAATCAGGAAGCCAGGCGGCGTGTAATGATGTGGCGCCCGGCTTTCTGATTGGTCGGGAAGCCAGCTTCCTGCTGCCTCGTCACCTCATGATGAGGGAGCATGGAGCTGGCTTCCCGGCCAACCAAGAAGCCGGGCGCCGCGTCATTACACAGTGCCCGGTTTCCTGATTGGCCAGAAAGCGGGCTCCATGCTTTCTCGTCACCTAGAAGCATGGGGACGGCTTCACACGCTGCCCAGCTTCCCGGCTAATCAGGAAGCCAAGTGGCTAATCATTACACGCCGCCTGGCTTCCTGAATGGGACTTTCGTTACTTAGTATTCGGTAGAGGCGAGTACCCCCCCAAAAAAATCGGTACTCATACTCGATACCGAAATACCGGTATCGGTGCATCCCTAGTTATAACCCCTATTAGGTGTGGGGTTTATTTTTGGTTTTTACAGTCTGTGTCCCAGAAACAAAACAGGAAGTGAGAGGACAGCTCTCCAAAATGCTGCAAAGATTTTTCCTACATTTCTATTATGGTGACAACTAGGGATGCACCTACGTTTTTTCGGTATGGAGTACCGATATTTTTTTTCCGGTACACGCCAATACTGATACCGGAAGTCCCATTATGGAAGCCAGGTGACGTTTAACGTCTCGCCACCTGGCTTCCTGATTAGCCGGGAAGCTGGGGGACAAGGAAGCATGGAGCCGGCTTTCTGGCCAATCAGGAGGCCGGGGGGCGGGTAATGACTCACTGTCCGGCTTTCTGATTGGCCAGCTTCCCGAGGGAGCATGGAGCCGGCTTCCCGACCAATCAGGAAGCCGGGCAGCATCTAATGACTTGCTACCCGGCTTCCTAAAACCGGATATTTGAGAACTCACCCAA